AGGGCGCTGCGCAGCGCCCCTTCCCCCTGCCCGCGCCCTCTCCCCACGCCGGCCCCGTCCGACAGTGTTGCCTGGCCAGCCGGCTAATGAAAGTCCGGGCGCCGTGGTCGTCGCCGAGCCCAGCAGGGCCGGTTCCCCGGCTTACCCGGGTGCCGGGCCCGGCAGAGGCGGCAGCCTCCGTGTCCACCCTCCGAGGCTGCCTCCCTGCTGGACTCGCCGGCGGACCCCAGGAACTGGCCGTCTGTGACGGTTTCCAGCCGAGTGGGTTTCCCAGGAAGGATCCACCTTCCCCGCTGGACAGTCATGTGTCGCCGCCCAGGCGCGTTTGCTGCCTGACGGGGAAGACGCTGGGAGGCGGGCAGGGCCGTGCCGGCTGAGAAACCACCTCAGCTCTGTCCCCAGGCGACACAGCCGCAGGCGTCTGCTGCAGGATCAGCCGCTGGCCCGTCCCAGCTCCCCGCGCCCGTGGACCCCGCTGGCCCCCCGGAGGCAGTCGGGCCTGTGCCTGGGTGGCCGCCCTAACAAGCACCGTTCCTAACAGTGCTTCTGTGAGCCGTGTACTTTGATAATCCGTGTCATGGGTGGGTGACATGACATCAAGGCAAGGTTTTTTTGTCTTTCAAATTAGTTTTGGAGACTTTTCTGCTCAATTTAAAAATAAAAAGGCAAGAGGGGTGAGAACTCCCCATTATTTTCTTCAGATCCACATATTGACTGTCCCCATGCATCCTTTGATGTTCTCAGGATTTCAGATCCTGTTTCCCTTTCTAGAAGGAGGTAGCCGATACGTCAGGTGGGAGGCTGTGTGCTATTGAATGAATATTGAATGTCTTCCCTCACAGTTGGCCTTTGATGGCTTTCCTCTGGCTCTTGCAATGAATGTATTCAACTTTCCCTGATCCTTTGCATGAGACTTCTGTTCTGAGCTACGCAGAGCTTTCCTCAGACCTGCTGTGTGATACCTTTCTCATGCGGGTTGTCCTTGGAGATCGGCTAAACTTAAGACCTCGAGTTTGATTATGGAAGCTTTCCATCACACCTGCCTGTTGGATTCCAAAAAAAACTGTTGAATTTCTTTTAAAAAATTTTGCCAAAATGTTACATCCAATAATGCAAACTCAGGCGGATATGCCGAAATTCAAAGAACTTAGAGCTCGTTTCCACACATTTTATCCTCAAGGTGGAAATGATGCTGGAAGAGCCTACGCAGTTGCAGTGTCTCCCGTGTTAGTTTCGTCACCCTTTCCAAAAGGTGGCTCGACTGCATAACTATCTTCAGAGTCCCCAGAAAGACAAATTCCCAAAATAGGTGAATGTGCATAAGAAACTTTGAAACTAAATATATGATGAGCGGAAAACTCTATGTCAGGCTTTAGAGCCAGTTTCCCACCCCTGTCTAGAAGTTAGCGATGCTCTCGGTTGAGACATGGAATCCCTCCAAGTGCACAGTAAACCTTCCCCTTCGAGTGCCCTCGTCCTTTTTGATGCCGTGGATGGGTGGCAACGGAGAAGGAGAAAGGACGTGACTAAAGGAGCAGGGTAGAGGAGTGACGTGAACCTCGTGGTGGGCCACTGTCCTCAGCCCGAGTAGGTCCTAGGTTTTCACATTCCCTTGAGGGGATTTTCGTGCGGATGGAGGGGGATTTCAGAGCTCACGAGCCACGTGGGCCCTACCCTGCAAGCACGGGGAGAGGATCGTTGAGCGAGGGCCGCGAAAGCAAAAATAGGTGTGAAGGTTGGGGGCTTTCTTGGCTCCTCTCGTTTTTCTAAAGCTTTCATCATGCTGGAGAGAAGGCAGGAAGCCGAAGTGTTTGTCCAGCAGGTGTTTTCACACTGAATCTTTGGTGCTAGCAGCCTCTCATGCCTCACCTGACTCCCAGTGATTATTTTTCTAAATGGAGAAAGAACAAAACATTGGCAGAAGCTTAAACAACAGCTGGCAAAAAGTGAAGTGCCGTGAACACAGAATACGTGAAAGCACCCGTCCCAGCCCTGGGGTTCACATTTGAAGTCCCAAAACAAGCCAATGGCAAGTTATTTTGGGGCTCTTGAGAATCTCTGAGGTTGCTAAGTATCCCAAGTTTTATAACTGATTTCAGGAGGGGAAGCAGGGGTTCCCCCTCATTTTGAATCAGGAAACCACTGCAGGTCAGGGCAGTGGCTTCTCACACGGGCGCCCTGCGTGTTGCCAATGTTTTGACCGTGGGCGCAGAGCTTCTCCTTTAATAACATTTGCTTAATGCTTTAATTAATTAACACTTAACCTTCTCTTTCCCTTTTCAACCCTTTTTCTCCTCCCTGTACTATATTCCCACGTAACTTTAAAAAAATTAAAACTCAATATCAAAGCAGGCAATGCATGTGTGGCTATGCCTCACAAAATAGGTCGGATTATTGAGGGGAGCCCTGCTGACCGATGTGGCAAGCTGAAAGTAGGAGACCGGATCTTGGCAGTAAATGGATGTTCCATCACCAACAAGTCCCATTCAGACATTGTCAACCTAATCAAGGAAGCGGGAAACACAGTTACCCTCCGCATCATTCCCGGGGATGGTAAAGTATACCTATGTGTCTCTCTCTCTGCATCTCTCTCTCTGTGTCTCTCTCTCGATCCCTTTATCATTAGTGTTCATGTTATTGAGTAGTGTTGACTTAGAGGCAGCTTTATCCATCCCTAACATACCCATCGAACAAATGTGAGCCATTGTTACTAAACCTTTACCGCACCCTCTTTACTTAATCCCCTGGCCCTTAATACCTGTCTTGCTACAGATATAAAAACATTTCAGAAAATCTTCAAGTTTCCCCAACTTACTTTGGTTTTGGTGCCTTTGTCTTTAAAACAATAGAATAGTTTGAATACAGGTGGTAAAGAACTCCTGATGTTCTATCTGGAAATCATTAAGAATTTTTTTTAAAAAATCACTAAATATATGTATAATATGCTGACATCACAAAATCTGCATAATGACAGTGTAGAGCCAGTAGTGTTTTTTCAGAATAAGCGAATGCCTCACATTTTAGTTAATTGAGAGAGTCTTAGGGTTTGTGCATCCTTGATTTGTTTCTAATTTTTACTTATGAATGAAGATTGAATGAAATCTCTATATGTTTTGTTTAATTGTGGGTTATATGTACATTAAACTAGGCCTATTGTTGTTTGGTTGTTTGGCTGAATTCAAATCATTGATTCTTTTACAGCAGTGGTAAGCCCCTCACGCACGCACCCTGCATCCCCCACTCCACCCCCACCTGGGACGTGGCGTTGCCTGGAGTGAGTGCTAGTGGCACATACTGGGCAGACTCGGGGATGCTTCTGCATGTCCACAGTGCACTGGACAGCCCCCCACAATAAAACGTGATCCAGCCAAAACAGCGATACTCACTGTTACTCATATTTAATAAAAATGAAGCGACACACTGATGTCACCAGGTGTAGAGTCTTAGAATTAAGTCCTATATGCTGACCTCATTCTCAGCAGGCCTGGCCCTTGGGAGGAAACTGCCACCTGCCCCACAATGTTTCAGTGTCTTTTTTTTCCCTCCATTATTGCTATGCATATGATAAAATAAAATATACAGGGTATCCCAAAAAAATGTATACACACTTAGCAGCTGACAGCTCAATTGATGTTTCTTTCTTTTCAGATTTAACCCATTGAAATTAATATTCCAAATACGTATACATTTTTGGGGACACCATGTTTATTCTAAAAGTCAGTGAGTATTTCTCAAGAGGAAATGTGATTTTATGGAGCTAGTGTGATAAAAATTCTATGCCATTGATGTGTAAAATTAAAAAATTAGAGGTTTTTATCTAAGCATAATTTACCAAATGAATATTTTTATGTATGAATTGTTAGAAAGAGAGCTTTATAGTTTAAAATTCAAGTAGTATAGACTGTGCTTTTCAGAAAAAGTAGTTGGTTCCAAGAACAGAGAATTTTCTCTGCACCAAAAAACTTCATACGAAACGTTGAGGGAAAATTAGCTCCTTGAATGATGGTCTTCTTCAGCCTGCCTCGAGTGCACGGTTAGTAATGGACCATCTGGAGTCCATTCCACCAGTTCACCACTGTGGAAGGCTGTTAAAATTTAAGAAAGCGACCACAAGATGATAGGACATAGGTTCCCAACAGAAAGGATGTAGGAAGCCAGAAAAATTGAGAAATGATTGAGAGAGCCAAATGTAGCATGGAAATTTAGACACATGGAGAAATTTCAAAAACTAATCCCAAAGAACTGGACACGAGAATTGACTTGCTGGATCTATATTAGTCAGTCTTAATGTGGAAATGAGAATGTCCAAAAAAGGAAGGAAGGAAGGAAGGCACTCCTTGAAGGACAGAAATATGCAGCAGCAACTCATACTGTGCACATATTAGGTACTGCCTTAATTTCTACAAAGTGCAATGAAAATATTTTTGGAAAACCTGAACACCAGAAAATACGAGGTAAATTACCCAATAACAGTTGTCAATGAAAAGACACGTTTAAAAACTTGAATACTTCAAAAATGTAAAATTCGGACAGACACATCTACAGGCTGCCTTGGTTAGAAGGAAGTAAACACTGAGGTTGATACGATATAGTAAAGGACTGATGCACTGCCGAGGGCGCGGTTTCATTAAGGACACTAAGGGATTCGTTGCCATGAAAATGAAACTCTCCTTCAGTTACTTTGTAGGCTTTGGAGACCGGGAAAAGGCAGTGGGGTCGGGCAGAGGGTGGATCTTTTAACGGGGGCCAAAAATTTCTTTCTTGGAAATTAGAGTTGAGACCGGGGAGTTAGATTTCTGGAGAGATGCTGGAGCAACCAGAGCCTAGAAGACAGAGAGTGAAATTCGTGGTGGTGCCACTTCCTCTCTGTGGCCGCGTTGGGCGTGGTAGACAGCAGGGGGAAAGGGAGGTGCGCTCTGTTAGGGACCTCTGGTCTCCTTCAGACCTAAGGATCAATTCATCGGGGACCCCAAAGACAGCCTGTTTCGTGGCCCTCATCAGGAGACTGAAGCCCTTCATCAGAGTGGTTCCTGAGGCTCTTAGAGATCCGTCCTGATAGACACCTGCTCTCAGAAACCCTGGGAGGCATTCAGGAGGCTGTGGTCCTGGCTGGACAGTGCTTGGGACCCACTCTGAACCCCTTCTTCTCTTCCTAATGCAGCCGAATTCTTTTTTCTTGTCATTGTTCACCTTAGTTTTTTGTCCAGCTTCACTTACCTGGGTCTGTAGTTTTCCTCACTCTGCTGCTGCTTCTCCCAATTCTTTCTTCTACTCCATCCCTCCCTCACCTGCCCGCTCTCTCCCCTTCTCCCTCCCCCTCCCCCTCCCCTCTCTCTCCCTGCCAGGCCCCTCTGTTGTGTTGTTAGAAGGCCTTCCTTCACGGATGATGCTGGACAGGCCTAGATCAGGGGAGTCCTCACCGTCTCTGTTTTTACTGTCCCTGGGACCAGGGAGGGCAGAACCTCTTCTCCTATGGGATAAGGGTAAGGGATAGGAAGTCCACAGTGACGTCACAGGAAGGCCCCGGGATAGCTGAACATGCTGAATCCGAACTTACAACCTGACAAGTCAGCCACACGTGCTTCCTGCCGCTTGTGTTGTACGGCGATCCCCCGTGAAGTCGGATGGGAGAGACCTTAATCAGCTGAGCCAGGCTAGCAGGGCCATCAAACTGAATCAGGTTCAAGATGAGAATATTTATGAGCTTAAAAATATATTAATTATGATCATAAGTCTGTCCTGCTGATCACTCTGATTTAAAGTATTTGCTTAAATAGGAGGTAGGCTTGGCGGCACAGGTATTGCTATCTCCTTGGCAAAGGCCCAGAATAGTGTCAGTTTATCTTAATAGAAGGCTCTGTGGATATGACGCTAGCAGAGACTCAGGCAAAAGACGCAGGGTTCCAGCCGTATACACTTTAAAAATCTCCCTAAGCTTTTCTCATGTTGATGGGATGCAGGTTTCAAAGGCTTCCTTCAGCTGTTTATGACACGCTTTTGTGCGTTACAGCACTTATGAGGGGAGGAGTGTGTCCTTGGCTGATCTGCTGGGCTTTGTAATGTGGGTTCCGTAGGGAGGCTGAGGACTGAGGACGGGCCCTGGAAGCCAGGTTAGCACTGTAGGCTCTGGTGGCGGAGCTGTGTTGAAACCCCAGATAGACGCTCCGTCCGAAGTCGGTGCCCTGGTTTAGCACAGCCTCTGACAGCACCGTGAGAGCTCCCAGGTGCTTTTCTTGGTGCCCGACTGCCATGCAAAGTACAGTGATACCCATTTTCATTGCCCTGAGGGAGCTAAAGTAGGTGTAAGCCCTGTTTAATAAAGGATGTAGGGTACTCTCTGGGATTTATCATGAAAACAGCCAATCTGCCTTGGAGTTTTAGAAGCCAAATACGTTGACACCCCTTCACACTCCTGCTGCTGGAGCCTACTCATATCAGGCCCTTTTATGTTTTTTCTATTATAGGGGGCAAATTTTTCTTTGGAATACAGCTATAAATTTGTGATGTGGGCTTCATTTCTGTAGTTTAGAAAGCTAGAGAGAATTTCAGCACTTCAAGTCTCGGTTGAAGACTTAAAAGTTGCCAGTGCCTCCACTTGCTCTCCGGATGACCTTGGACATGTTACCTGCCTTTTCTAAGCCCCCGTATCTCCATCTGTAAAAGGGGGCACTAATGGCACCTGTTTTATTAATTAAGTTGTAAGAATGAAATGAATTTAATGCACTTAGCAGTTCTTGGCACATTGTAAATGGTTAGGAAATGGTGGTTGTTTATAGATTAATAAAAACAAAAAGACAATTTAAGGAGCTCAAATGGTAATTTTTAAATTGCTTGAAGTTTAGCTTCAACCCAAAACAGATCTGCATATAAATAGGAGAAAATAGCAAATGAAGAATAGGCGAAAAATTAATAAAATAGGTGTTTATATGCGTATTGAGGCATCATCTGTTATATCTCAGCAATCATGAAAGCAGCAGAAATATAAAAATTGCGGTACCTGATCTACCTGAGAAACCGTGGCTCCCAAACACACAAGCACTCTGACAGGAGCCTCTGCACAATTACGAGACTGTAATCATTTTAATTACAAGGAAACGTCCTTTTTGGTATCCTGAATATGATTTCCCCACGGCCCGAGCAATCTTCTGTACTCCCAGAGAGTCTCCATAAAATTAATTACAGTGAGTAATATCAAGTTTTTTAAAAGGACCAGTACCTGTGCTTGTGAAGCTCCTGGTGAGTCACAGCGAGAGGCTGTGCAGTCTGCGCCCTCCGCCACCCAGTGCGCACACCTGGTGCAGTGCCTTACATTTACCACCTTGATTGTACCAGTTGACTACAGCCATAAAAATATGTTTTTAGTATTATAACAGTAACAAACACATGCTACCAGTAAAAACTATGCCAATCATAAAAACTGGGGGCAGTTTGTAAGTTCCAGGCACTGTCGCACACACTTTTCTTCCAGGTAATCTTTGCGCCAGTCCTCTGAGACGCACCTCCCGTCCCACACGTGCAGTGGGGGAAAGCAGCAGGCGTGGGAAGTTTAAGCAACTTCGCTTGAGTCCCGGCCAGGAAATCGCAGAGCTTGGGACACAAGCCAGACTGTCTGCCCCTGGAATCTGGCCTGGTTACCAGCATGCCAACCGCCCCCCAGCTCAGAGGGTCCCCGGGCGCGCTGGCATAGTAGAGCCCCGAAGGGCCTGACTGGGTGACGACTCCTGTGCCACCGGGTGGCGGCCGGCTGATTACCCGTCAGGGCTCACACCCGGCTGCGGGTTCCATCCCGGCCGGGGCACGTATGGATGTTCCCTCTCACATCAGTGTTTCTCTCTCTGCCCCCCCCCCTTCCTCTCTCTAATCATGTCCTTGGGTGAGGATTTGGAAAAATTAGAAGGCTCTGAGGAGTCCACGGGACAAAGGAAAGGCAGACATGCAGAAGCGTTTCTGTCTCACCTGTTTCTCACCCTTCACTCACCCAGGTTCCTGTCCCTTGGAACCTCTAGGACAGTCGGCGAAGCAGATTGTGGGAACGTCATCCTAACACACGAACAGGACGCACATTTCAGTGCGTTTCATCTAGTTACACTTTCTTCTCTTTGTATCCCCATCTGAAGATAGGCTTTTTTATTGGTTTTTTCTTTAGAATGAGAGGAGT